TCCATTTTATCACTTTATCTCATCAAATGCTTTCAGCCCCGTCATCTCTGTGTCCTAACTCCAGGTTCACATGTGCTGGAATATTCAATGAATTTTTTTGTGCTATTATCTTTTCCTTCCCCCCCACCCCCCGCCTTTGTACTTTAGTTGGGGTAAATTCACTGTCAGTGGATTTCCACTTCCATTATGTCTTTTCTGTCACGTCCATTTATACCCCAAAGTTCATCTCATGACTTTTGCCATGCCAAATAATTTGTGCCTACTCTAAAACACTTGAAAGTTTTCTCCTGAAGTATTTGATTCTTTCCTCTAATCTCGATGTTAATAATACAAAGTCCTTGCTCTTCCCAGATTCTGTTCATGCTTGGATTGGCATCCACTGATCAGGGCTTCACATCCCTTCTTGTGGTTTCATGCCATATGGCAGACTTTGTGTGTGAACAAACTGTAGAGAATGAAATAGAAAATACTGATTCCCTCATCAAGGGCTGACCTCAATGATCACATCAGAACTGAGCTGATCTGGAGCTGAATTAACGTTAGTTAATTTGAATGCCCTGCTTAGCCCATAGATTTAAGTTATAAAAGGCCCCTGCTTCCATTTGGGTTTGGGAACCAACTGCCATTCAACCTTTTGATCATGTTTTGCTCTCCAGTTCTGCTACAGGATTTCTGAAACACTGAGGATCTCTGCCTCCATACCTAGACCAAATGGACCACATACTGCTGAATACTTGTGAAGACCCTAGTACTTGTGAAGAATTGGTCTACAGTAATGACTCAGTCTATGCCTGGGGTGCATATGTTAAATTACTCCTTTCTTCTGCAGTAGTTAGCATCTGGTGACAGGTCTGCACTTTCAGCTGATCCCAGGATTTAGTTTCCTTTCAATTTGTCTCTTCAGTTCCCAGAAAGTTGTGCCTTCATATAATTTTATAACCTACCTTGTTTCTTACTTCTGCCCTCCCCTTTTGGTACTGGTGATGAAGCTGGCCATGGAATATGCTACCTCAGAGTTCTGCTGGGCTACATCCTTAGCTCTTCTCCTTACCATGATGTAGGTGTTGTCTCTTTGTGACTGTCTCCATTATATTGAGAAGGAAGGTTTGAAGGCGGCGCGAAACTGTTTTATCAGTACTTGTCTTATCGTGAAAACCACCATACAGTGCTGGAGAGATGACTCAATGGGCAGGAGTGATGGGTACTCGTCCAGAGGACCTGGGTTTGATTCCCAACACCCACATGGTGGCTCACAACCATTTGCAGCTCCAGTTCCAAGAGCTCTGACACCCCCTTCCTGCCTTTGTGGCATCAGTTGTACACATGGCACACAGCCATATATGCACACAAAATACCCACATACACTAAAAAAGAACAATATTAATACCAGACCATAAAAGCAACCCAAACTGTTACATCTACAGACATTTCAGAAAGTGCAGAAACAGGGAACATACCATGAACATAGCTTTCATCCCCGTTCTAGGTTGCTTTCTTATTACTATGGTAAAACCATGGTCAAAAGCATCTCGGGAAAGAAAGGGTTTATTTCTTCCGGGTTTCAAGTCCATCACGGACAGAAGTCAGGGCAGAGACTCATGCAGGAGCAGAGGCGGGATCCTTTTACTGGCTTGCCTTCTTTGGCTTGCTCGGCTACCTTCCTTATACAATGCAGCCCAAATTGCCTAGGGGTGGCATCACCCACGGTGGACTGGACCAGTCAATTAACAATTAACAATTAACAATTAAGAAATACCACACAGACATGGTCATAGACCAACCTGAGGGCAATTCTCAGTTGAGGTACCCTCTTCCCAGGTGACTCTAGGTTTATGTCAAGTTGACAGGGTAAGCTAACTGTGGCAGACATGTGTGGTTCCATTCATTTCAGGCTAATAACCTATGTGTGCCTGGTTTCCAATGGACATCCCTTTTTTTTTTTTTTTTTTAAATCTCATTTCCACTCCTACACTCACCATGCAGTTCCCCAGCCCTCATTTGCTTCTTAGTTCTTAGGTTCCAATTCTTTCCTCTTCTTCTACCTACATCTCCCTTCATGTGGAAAATCAAGTGCATCACAACTGCAATAGTCAGTGATGGTTGTTTCTGCAAAATCACTGTCTTCCACAGAAACTTTTCATGGTCGTCAGGAAATGAAGCTCCTTTCAGGACATTATGACCTTCAGGTACCAGCACTCAGATGACATGGCATCGGCATCAGAAACAATGAGCATCTATTTGTCTTTGTGTAGAATTTTTAATTACTAAACTAATGAAAGATAGCTGGAGATGTGTTGTCCTGAAAGTTAGCTGGGAAAGGAGTGCCTGGAAAAGGCTCCTAGAGAGAGGGGAACAGGAAAACTTAGTGATCTTTCTTGCCTAAGCAACCAGTCTCAAGGTATACATTACAGGACTGAAGGTCTCTCATACAACAAGCAGGAGAAACACTCATAGCATGCATTCTGAAAAGACAGCTGTTGTGACGGAGAGAGTAGATTCCTTTCTTTAGTAATATTTTACACCTTTGGGACTGGAGAGATGGTTTAGTAGTTAAGAGCACTGGCTACTCTTCCAGAGGACCTGGGTTCAACCACCAGCACTCACATGGTGGCTTACAACCAACTCTAACTCCAGCTTCGGGCATCTGATGTCTTTGGTCACTGGGTGTGCATACGCTACAATGTATGCAAGCAAAACACTTACGCACATTGAATGAAAATGAATGAATTAATTGTGAAAGAATGTGCAGCTCCTATTTGTGTCTTACTCAGAATCAGTGAAATCGCTTTGCCCTGCCCTGCTACTCTCCTTTTTTTTTTTTCATTTCAGGAGCTGTGAGGGCAGCTGCATCTGCCCACCCTCTCCTATAGAACAGACTAACAGAAAGTGCCTTCGTGTGCTGCAGTAGGCTGCATGGCTCCACGCCCCGGTTGATAACTTCAGTAGATACGCCATGCAATAAAAGAATGCGAGTGTTTGGCATGGCTGCTGACGCACGCTGATCTCAAATACCTTCTTCTGTTACGCTTCATCTAGGAAGTGGTCGGGATAAGTCATAAATACAAATGCAAGACGGATGCATAATTTCTGGTTTCCTGAGCCTTGTTGACTTGGTAGAAATGTGGCATTTCTAAGAAGAACACGCTTGCATCGTTGTGGTTTGGGGTTTTACTATAATTTTGGATTTTTTGATTGGTGGCACTTGAGGTTGGACCCAGGGCCTTACAGATGGTAGGTAAGCACTGGTTCACTTAGCCACATGTGCGGTCCTCTCCATGGTTACCCAGAAAAGTCAAGTGCATATAAACCTAAGCGTAGAAAGAGAGAGACATAGCTTACACAAACCCATCACCAAAGTTAGCACGGGACTGTCACCGCTCCTCATGTTCTTATTGCAGCTACTTCGAATGCATTGTTGGAAAACACTGATTTGTTCAAGGAACGTCCTGGTTTTCACTGCTAAACCAAATGGTAAAACGAAAGCACTGTTGACAGCGTGGGTTCAGCTTTGTTTTTAAATCCTGGCTCTAACCAGAGCCCTGACTCCGTTTGTCCTCCTCCACTTAGCTCATGTTCTCGTGTTAGAAACGGTACTTGTGGCGAGCTCGCCAAATGAAAAGTACAGCTTGATTAAGGATCTCTTGTGTCAGTAATTTGTGCCTAATGTCTCTCGCCTTCCCATGGGCTGTTGTAGGGAATGGGAAATCTGGTTTAAATGAAACCTGATCCCGCTAATGGTTTAATAGCAGCTGCCACAGGGTTCTGGGGTTTTCAACAGATGTCTCTGTTACATTTTATTCCTAAACTTAAGTCTTCAGCTATCCGTATGAATCATGTAAATATAACTGCACGTTTGGATAAATGTTTTGCAAAATAGCCTATGACAAGACAATTTTCTGTCCACTTTAATCCATTCACATGAGATTTTCTAGAGAAAATTAGGTACATAGTGTTTTTTAAATAAAAAAAATTACTTATGTCTTATACTTTTATAATTCTTTTAAGCTGAGAAATGGGCTTCATCTCTACACCTAGGAACATGACTTGGTTGATGCGGCTGTTGATCCATCATTGCCTACTGCTGTTTATTTGGTTCTTATAGTGATATGCTTCATAGTGTCACTTCAGATAAATATTAGTCAAAAAACTATATGATTTGTTTTTTTTTTCTTCTTGTAATACTAATTCTAACTGTCATCATGAATAGGGTTAATTTTTTGGAGTGTGATAATTTGCCCAACTACTTTTATAGATGGGATTTGTTCTGTGGAAAGCACCTGAGCCAGGTACTTGAATGATCCAGAAGACATAAAACAGACGTGATATCATGCTTGTGATGGGACACCGGAAATAGTCGTGATGAACGGAATACTTGCGGGCATCATACTTTAAAGAAAAGAATAGTTTAGTGGGTTCATGATTCTGTAGGCTGAGAAATTCAAGGGTGTTCTCACATCTGGTGAGAGCCTTCTTACCATATCTCATCATGGTAGAGGGCACAGCAGAAAAGAGCAAGCCGCTAGTGTTTATTCCGAGACCTCTTATTCTCTTCTTACAAAGCCACTGATGCCGTTCTGAAGGCTGCCCTCTCATGACTGCATCTAATTCTATCTTCTCAAAACTCTGTCTTCATACATCATTAACATATGGATTCGTGGTTGAGGTTTACGGCACAGGAACTTTAATGGACCCATTCAAACCTTAGCAACCGTAGACATACCAGATCAAGCCAAGAGGCATGAAAGTACAGAGTGGCATGCTAATTGCAACGCTGCAAGCTTGATTCCTGAGGCTTAGAAAGCATGGTCTCTGGCAGAGGTTGTATGGTTGCTAAATTACCTGAGGCTAGAAGGCTTATTTGTAAATTCACCAAAGAGAAGTATTTGAAGGTAAGAGGAGGGATATAGAACTTGTCTGTAGGTATTCTGAATGATGTGTGGCTATCTCTGGATAACGAATAGCAGCCTCCTGAGGTTCTCCTGTCTTACTGTTTTTGCTAGGTACTTCCTCAAGGGAAAGCTGTGCAGCCTGGCTTGTCTTTCTTATTTGAACTTGTCCATGGAACATATGTTTATGATGACCTGATCATGGGCTCGGCAGTCTTTCCTGTCTGTGATAACAACCTACATCTGGTGGAAGGAAAATTCAAGTGTCCCCTTCTCCGAGGGCCTTATAACCAGACACTGGATAGCTTCAGAAAAATAGAAAAATTGATTTGCCAAGACGTGGATCAGTGGCTGTGCAATCTATATTTTAAGGTTTGTAATATGATAGTTTTATTTATTAATTTCTAGAGATTGGATATGGCACTGTCTTGTATATTGAATGAATCAGAACTGACACCCAAGCCTCATGGTTCTCAGCAGTTCACAGTATTAGTAAGTTCATCCTGTCATCCTCCCCGGAATGGATGATTTATTTCCTTACCAACAGGCCTGACCAGGATTCCTTTGTGTGTTGGAAGTTGCCTGTGAGAGGGTGCACAGGAGATGAGGTGTGACTTCTGCCTTCTGAATGCTCGTCTCTGACAAGACGGACACCTAGGAGAGGGTAATTCCACAAAGGAAGAGTAGCATGAGAGAGCTGTCTCCCTTAGGCACTCCACTTCCAAACTTGTTTTCCATCAAATGTAAATATTTTAAGCAAATAAACTTGGACATGCGTACTTGTATATGTTTATCTTTCTGTGTACTGCTGAACCCAGCCTTTTTGAAACCAGTCACGACACTATATAAATTTACCGTGGGGAGACGTCATTATCCAGAGAAGAAAATGGTCGCATATGTTAAGAATAAAGAGGCCCACCTGTTTGTAGCCTATCTATTTTGTTTTCTATGTCTGAACTTGTTGTTCTTAATTATAGTATTTTCCCAGGTTGACTATATCACAACATGCCATAAAGTTTTAATCTTTGCCTATACACCTGATTATCTATCTATCTATCTATCTATCTATCTATCTATCTATCTATCTATCTATCTATCATCTATCTACTTGAATACCTACCTACATAATTGATGAAACTGATAAGGATATTTCCAAAAAATGTGCATGTTTGGCCTTAAGTTTTGGAGTTTTCTGTCTTGTGTATTCTTTTTCTGGTATCTTTTTGTTACCAGCTAATATTATCTGCTGTTGTCTTTATAGTGAATACTATTATAATATGCTGAAATACCATGTTGGGTTTGCCTAGAGAACTATTATAAATAATTATTACCTGGATATGTGCCTTCCTAGTCATTGTGGAAACGTGCTTTCCTGAGATAAATCTCAATGTCCCTTAGGAAAAAAAGTCCTTACAGTTGCTGCTCACTCTGCCTTCTGAATGCTCATCTCTGAGAATATGTACCAATTATTTTGTGGCGGTGCTTCAAGATTAGAGGTTGCTTATAGCTCTTCGCAAGCAGAACTGCTGAGAAATAAAAGCAAGCTTGAGATGGAAGAATAGTACAGGAATGTAAAAAAATTTCAAAACCCTATAACAGAATGGCTTTAAGATTGTAGTCTTAAATATTATGCCACCAGTCAAAATAAACTGAAAATTAAAACGCAATCACTAAAGGAAGTAAATTTTATTATAGTTAATATAAAAAGCATCTATGTGTTTTTGTGTATATGTCTCTCTGTGTATGTGTGTGTTTGTGTGTGTGTCTCCGTTTGTATGCACTCATGCCCATGTGCACATGCCTGAGTTAGGGTTTTTCTTATCTCTTATTTGATGTGGTGTCACAGTAAAATCTAAGCTTGCTGCTTTCACTAAACTGGCTGGCCAGTGAGGCCCTAGGATGCACCTGTGTCTGTTCTCTACTCCATTCCGCCCATTGCTAGGATTACAGGCATGGGCTGCTCTACTTGGCTTTTTATGTGGGGACTGCAGATCTGAACCCAGGTCCTCATATGCAGACACAGCAGGCCCTCCACTCACCGAACCATCTCTTCACCCATGGAACCTACGACTTTTAACTGCTTTTCTTTATTTTCTTCTTTTCTTTCTTTCTTTCTTTCTTTCTTTCTTTCTTTCTTTCTTTCTTTCTTTCTTTCTTTCTTTCTTTCTTTCTTTCTTTCGCATTCCACTGTCCATGCTTGGGGTAGAACTCATGACCTCACATATGCTAGGTACCTGCACTACACCTTTAATGCTCACACTGACTCACACTAAAGCTCAGAATTCTGTAAATTATGGCTTGGAAAGTTGTCACTTAATCCATAGATTTAAATAGTCCTGGTATTAATCATACAGATTATTTACGTTGAGATTAAATCAAGACAAAATCTACAAGATAAAAATTTGATTATTAAACAGTATTAAAATAGTCTGGGTGGGTCATAATGTACTTGGATTTGAAGACCAAATTTTTCTCCTTTTTAATTAAGTAAAATACAGTGGTGGGAAAATAATGCTGTGACTTAACCATAGAGCATACTGGCCACTAAGTATCATGATATGATTAATCATCAATTATATTATTTATTAGACAGTGTTAGGGACTGTTGCCCTCTGTATCTCTATTGGGGAGCAAGCCCACTTTACTGAGAAAGCAATAGTACAGCACAGGTATACGGTTTTTCTGCTTGAGAGAAAAAATAAGTGGGGAGGAAGATACTTCTCCTCTTCATAAAAATAAAAACAAAAAAATTCTTATACGAAACTTTGTTTTTCTGTATATAAATTTCTCTAACATTGAAAGTTTTCCAGTATGAGTTTTCTCAAGAGCCAAATGTTTGGATCAGGGCTGGGGACATGGCCGAGGTGGAAAAATGTTTGCCCCACAAACATGTGGACCTGAGTTTGAATTCCTAGCACAAAACCAAGCCATACCCATAAAACAACTTTCTCCCCACCAAAGAAAAATAAATCACTGCATAGGGCGGCATCTGTCTTTAACCCCAACACTGGGAGAGGTGGCGTCAAAGACGGGGGACCCTTACAGCCCACTGGTCAGCCATCCTTGTGATCTCCAGGTTCAGTAACAGTCCCTGCCTCAAAAATTTAGGTAGAGAATGACTGAAACAAAACAAAGAAAACAAAGGCACAATGTCAACCTCTAGCTTCCACAGGCAGACACACACACACACACACACACACACACACACACACCCTATCAATCAAGGAACTATATGAAAAGTTCTAATCAAGTAGTAGATATAAATTTAAAAATAAAAAAACAAATGACATAAAAAGGCAAAACACATAATGGAACAGAAAAAGATGTTTTTGCAATTTTAAGAAATCCAAGGGAGCCCTTCTTTCCTTTTTCCTACGGGGTCGGTGGGTGGGAGGAGAATGATATACAAAGCATGCCAGACAGAGGCAGGGCCCATGGCTTTCCCCTGTCCTCTATTGTCGTCCTGCGTCATTAGGGGCAGTACCTGGAGCTCTCAGGAGGAGGCTGGAAAACAGCACTGACTTAGCTTGTGTGAAAGGACTGAAGACGGAGGAGTGTGCGAGCAAGGAAGGCTGACACGCCTTCCCAAGGAAGCGATCCCTTCAGAACCTGTCATTCTCAGTGCCCAGTGTTTCCCTGAAGCACTTTGTGATCCTAAACATGTGGTGGAGAACTGCACACTGAATACCCACCTGTTCGCTTACCGCTATGTTCTATAATCTGGTCATTTCACTTTTGGCTTATTGCTTCTTGAGGAAAATTTTGAAAACAAATGAATATTTTGTAGCTTCACCCAAGGATGAGTTTTAGTCATACAGTGGTTTCTTATAGGATATCAAAAATAATAAATTAAACATATAAGGCAGACGACAATGTTTAAAGTGATTAGTGTATGATTATTATTATTGTCATTATATTATTATTATTTAACCAGACAAGATCCTTCAGATGGAAAATTGAATTGTTCTTTTAGATATCTCAAAGTCCTCCATAGTTGTAGAGAAAGTTTGACTGCATAGGTAATATCTGCAACCGCTTCCATTAACTGACTTATCTCTTAATAGGTAATTAAAACTCCTTTGCATTTGGATGATCAAAAAAGCCATGAGAGCCTCAGGCAGCCTTCTCCTGAACGTCCTGTGTGCTTAATGGCGGAAGCAGAGCACACAGAATTTGATTTGGATGATCCAGCTGGCCCTTCAAAGAAAGAACCCCCAAGAAACACCCACGCTGTAAAGGGCGGCTCCATACACTCTTCTCAGGGTTGGTTGAGACATTCATTTTCTTGAACATTCCAACACACTGTTAAGAACTGTGCTATATTGAATGAAGCTAATTAAGAAGTATTTCCTTTCTAAGAATAAATGTTTTTAAACTGAGCCATGGAGAAAGAATATAACCATTGAGAAAAATATTAACTTTCATATCACATTGACTATTATGTGATATGAATAAGTAAAAAAAAAAAACTTCCTTAAAACATATTTTTCTTCATCATGACTCCATTGTCTGTGGACCTTTTTTTTTTTTTTTCCACTACTTTTTGGAGGTGTGGGATTATTTGACTTCTTCTGTTAACTTTCTGCTTTCTTGTATATGTTTGAGACTTGTAACCAAAAATATAAGTAGAAAAAAAATATCCTCAGGACAAAGTTCTCAAGTAATATAGGGTTTATGCTATAGGACTTTATTTTTGAAAATTAGTTTTATTAAGCACTAGGTAAAATCAAGTCTTTCAAACATTCAATTTTAAGAAGAGCCACATTTGAAATTATCTTTTGTAGTAAAACCTGATTGCCTCTACCAAAGATTTCAGTTCATGGGCTTCTGTAAGTGGATGGCGCTATCAGCAACTAATATTAGCCTACCCAACAGGATCAGATGGATTGGCAGCTATTGCCGAACTAGTAGTCACAGCCTCGTGGCAAGGAGTGGCACTCATACAAATTACCAGTGGCAAACCCTGTTGTAAGCATTTTCTTTGAAATTATCAACTGGTGTAATTATATGGTACAGAAAATAACATAACATGTACCAATACTCTATCCTCTACTTTGGCAATCCTATTTTGCTTTATTTTCTTTACATAATTTTCTTTTATTTCACCTTCCTCCTCTTAGACCTTTTCTTTTTTTTTCTGTTATGTGTATGGAAGTATGTGTGTATAGATATGCATGTGTATATGTGTGTATATATATGAGTATGTGCATGTATATGTGTGTCTGTGTGCATGCATGCGTGTGTGTGTGTGTGTGTGTGTGTGTGTGTGTGTGTGTGTGTGTTTATATACCCTGGAAGCCAGAGATCAACATTGGATATCTTCATTGATGTCTCTTCACCTAATTTTTAAAATTAATTAAGTAATTATTTAATTATTGAGACAGGGTTTCTCTGTGTAGCTTTAGCTGACCTAGACTCATTTTGTAGACCAGGCTGGCCTCAAACTCACAGAGATCCTCCTGACTCTGCCTTTTTGAGTGCTGGGATTACAGTTGTATACTGCAGAGTCCAACTTTCACTTTATTTTTTAAGTCAGGGTCTCTCCCTGATTTCATTAGACTGGTGGATTAGCAGTGAGCTCCAGAGAATGCTTTCACTCTGTCTGCCTCTCTCAGTACTGAGATTATAGACACCTGCCACCATACCTAGCTTTATTTTTTTTTTTAAATGTGGATCCTAGGGAATCAAGTGAAGGTCCTCATACTTTTATGGCAAATACTTTCCCATTGAGAAATAGGAAGTTCAGAAGAGACATAGAATGTGGAAAAGGAAAACAGGTTCTAGATCAAGCTGCTAACTGATTATATGCAACTAAAGATGATGTACAGAGACATAATAAAGCAGGACTGAAGCCATAGCTCTGGAAACAGCCACAGTTCTAGAATGGGATACTGGTACTCCTCCAGTGTTCTCAGATTGGCCACATGATTCTACTTCCTGGGTCACTTCTGCCTTGCTGAATTTTCATTTGTTTGTTTTCTTTTCTATTAGTTGATTAGTTGGCAATTTCAAACTTCCTAGTAAGTAATAAACACTGGTTACATCATGTTTGGAAGTTCTTTGTTCCTTAGGAGTGATACGTAGTTGGGTTGAGCAGAACTCCACCAATTGCTAGGTTCAAGTCACAAATATTTGCTCTTCTAAAACATTGGCCTAGTATGAGCCTTGGGCTTTCTTACCCTTGTCTGACCTGTATGTTTGCTTGTGCCTCAGCCAAAGTCATCAAAGACTACTGAGGTACTACACTCTCTAGAATTATGTACACCTGAAAATGTTATGTTCAGATTTTACACACAGAATACATAAATGCCAAATTATATGATACTGACCTTAAATAAATATTATTGAAGACAAATTAAGAACCAGCTATATGTTAAAGCCAGGTAATACATTCCATAGTTTTGAAGCAATTTGAACTAAGTGTATGTAATATTCTTCATATCCTTCAATTTGCTTGGAGCAGGAGAGAGCAGGTGACACCACTTTGTTCTGCTTTGGAGAGACAAGAAGGAGACTTGGTCATCCTCAAAATGCATTTGTAAGCTGCCTGCAAGGACTTTGTGTTGGAATATAGAAGATTTAAGCCTCTAAATTTTTTCATAATTTAAATGCAAATCATCTGGGGTGTTTAACCATGTATTTGTAGAGCAGATAAGGGAAAGTAGAAGATGGGCTATTTAAATAAGAGGAAGGTCTTGATGGTTGAAAAAGAAGAGTTGATGCTGTAAAAGAGCTCCAAACCAATGGCGAGCAATGCTATAGGTAACCTCATTCCAAATGTCTCTATGGGAAAGCTCCGTGGATGTAGTAGTGAAGTCTGATAAATTTTCTGATCAAGATAATTGCTGTTACACTGGATCTTGATTGGATCTAATTGGTTAGACTTTTCAGCTTGAATACCTGGGTTACCCCTGATCTATGAGAAAAAAATAAAGTCATTGTAACATTGCATATATGTGTAGACTGGGTGCTATAGCTTTATTAAGTCCTTAAGAATACATATTCTGAAAATTTGATTCCCAAGCAAAACAGTGCTGAAAGTTGAGGAGTTTGTTTGTTTTAAAGGAGGTGATTAGATCTTGGTGGTTCTGCCCTTAAGAATGCATTAAAAGATATGTGTTATTGAGAAAGTATATTTGTCATGATGAGACAGCTCTGTAAGGTTCCGGTGTTTAAGCCTAAACTGCTAGGGTCTTCGCAGAGTACCAGACAACCTGAAGACCCTCACTAGACATAGCCTTTTGAACCACCTACCCCCAGAATTGTAGGAAACAAAGCCTTTCCTTCACAGATGTCCCAGTCCTAGCAGTTCTAGCGGAGCCACAGGAAGTGCACTAAGACATTGGAAATCTGAGACGTGGAAAAAGAGAGACAGTGTCAATGCTTCTTCTGATGGTTGAAGATCATCATCCTAAGAAAAATAAAGCAAAAAATAGAAAGGGAATGATTGTGACTTCATTGGATGAAAAAGAAGAGAAAGCATGCCATTGATTTTGCTTAAATATCAAGTTCAAAGGTCAACTCTGAAGTCACTGAACACTGCAAAATATGTGTACTTGCAAAATGTATTTCTTTTTAAAAACATTTTACTATAAAACAGTCTTATTTTAGAGTTGTCAACTTTTAACAGAGTGGGCTCTGATTTTTGTCTACTTTTAAGATACTGAGTAGAAGATTAGAGGTAATTACTTTTGGACCTTGTTTTTTTTTTTTTTTTTTTTTTGCCATATCCTTTTTGTTTTCTTGTCTTTCCTAGGGCAACGAGGCTACATTCCTTAGATTTACCACACCATGCTATAAACTCTATTAGCATGCTACCACTGCCCTATTCTCTCCTCAAAAAGGACAGGTGGTACTTTGGGGAAGAGGATCACCAACACATTCGGTATGAAACACAGTATGCACAAAGAGGGAGAGTTTCTTATGCTTTGTTTAAAAGAAAAAAAAACTGATTATTATGTTGCTTTCTTACGAAGCTCAGAGACTAATGTAAGTCTCATATCCAAAGACAGCAAAAGGACTGTCTCCTCCTGTTCTGAACAGATTTATACAAAAACCAGGACACGGAAATTTCTCCAAGTACACGTCTCTTTTACTGCTTACTTTTACTTATTTTTCTTGGAAGCTCCGAAGCTTATGAGTAGTAGTTAATATCTCCCATGGGCTTGTTTTCTAATATATCTGGGCTATGATAAACTGTGCTGTTTCTGCCACTGATGTGTTGCTAAGAAATTTAATAATGGGTAAACAAACACAACATGTGGTAATTAATTTCAAATTAAAAGTTGATTAAACTCTGGCTTGATGACGTTCTGGCCATTTACACGCAAAGGAAGGGAACGTGGGGAAATGGTGATCACGTGGTATGTTCATGCTGCAGAGTTTCTATCTGAAAAAAAAAATGTGTTTGTGATCTTACACAAGTTGTTGTACATCAGTAGGCTCCATATGCAATCTGTCAATTTTACTATATCGTGGTCCTCAAATCACACACACACACAAAAGTGACTTTCATGTTCCCTTGTAAGTGTGCCTGTATACACACTCTTTCCCAAGGGGATTTTGGACTTAGTCCATGGTTGATGATGGTGATCAACACTATTACTATGTGGCTTCCTGGGAATAGGAAATATTTATAAAAGGCTGGAAAAAAGCATCTATGACATATCTTTTGTGATTGCCTTCTTTCAAGTTGTCTTTACTCTTTAGGATAACCGCTAGGGAAAGGGTGATTCTGTTTGATACTTTTGTTTTGTATATGTATATCTTGCAAGAACAATAGTTCCCAAAAAGGTTCATGGATGCTTGGTGACACTGAATTGCAGGGAATTTTATTGTGTGCTCACAATGAACAAACCACACTGCTACATGCTGTGAGGTTGTAAGCCAAAAGTATCTTCAGAGATTTACTTGAGCCATCTGCCCCATTATGATACAAACATATGTCTACATGGCCAGTAGGAGGTGTGGGCTCTTTCAGCATCCTTTCTATAAAGGGTCAGCAAACCTTCCTTCGGGAGAATCCAGACCTGCGAAAAAACAAGTGTGACCAACTAAATCGCTATTTAGTTGTAAGATGAAGGAACAATTTTGAGAAATATGTGTTGTCAAGATTTGTACTTGTCTCACTTGGCTCCAGCCCTTGAGCATACTATGGAAGAAAACTGGTTTTAGGGACATAGATACTAGATGAGGCAAATGTCTCTCTCTTTCTCTCTCTTTCCCTCCTACCACTTTCCTGGCAATTCTTATCAATGATATCA